TGCAGAGAATGAGTTTCCCAGGGAGAACAGCAAGGGAGCGATTGAGTTGATTGTGATGGTGCACCATAACACCCACAGCATCTGGGAGGAAGCATTTGGTGAGTTGCACACGGAATATAGCCTTCAGTCCTATCGTAGCGGCTTCCCGTAACCCAGACGTAGGGCCCTATACAGATTCTTCTGCCGCTCTTTGTTCAAAGTGCCGTGTTGACCAAGCGCAGAAGGGTTGAGCCAGGATTTATATTCTTAAACCCTCTTTATATTCCTAGGTTGGCCATGGTGCACACATCTTTTCTCTTGCTTCCCCACGACTCTGGATCCTCTGGCTTTACTACAGGAACTGTTTATGTACAAATCTGAACACGGCGTGGCTGTGTCGGTGACAATGTCTTGAGTTGCCAAATGCTCTTTAGGATGATGATGAAACCAGTGGCTCCAAAGTTCTGGCTTTAAATCCTCAGCTGAGATATAGATGAAGGTGCCAGACAAACCTTTGTTACCTAATAAATTTCAAGTGTTATCTACTTTCCCAGGCATCTGTTTACACGCAATTATTACGAAATTGACTCAAGGTAGGATGGCCCGGTAGCGCAAAAACTTGATGTAAACTTGGGATAGGCTTTAAATAAAACAAAACAACACAAAAATGAAACCTCAGCATTTGGGAATTGTAGTTTATCCCCAAAAAAGCTTTTGTAACGTTTCCAAAATTAGGCACAGCGGGGAAAATGTGAAAAACCCCTCTTGTAATCGTAAAACACACAATTACCATCCCAGTATCATTTAACTTACTCCTGTGTGTGTGTATCGCTTTATTAAGGTATATTTCTGGGGCTCTGCTAATATCTTCCATATATGGGGTACCCGAGGTAGGAGTGAAATTTCAATGTATGACGAAAGAGATATAAAAATGATAGGTGCATTATCCTCGAGGCAGGCAGGCAGGGTCAATTCAGAGGACCCTATCTGCTGATATGAAGAACCGTTTTTGCTAGCGCGGTGTAACTAGAAGTCGCAGAGTAGTGGGTGGTGCCTCTCCCTGCCTCCAGAAGGTTTTGCTCAACTCCTCTGGAGTTTGCTAAGTAGACGCTTTCAGAAAAACCTTGCTTGTTCTGGCAAAAGCTGATACGTTTTCAGTTGAGGAGTTTGAGAAGATTCAGGATCTGTTATTTGCACCGCGTTCACCAAGCAGAGAAAGAACATACAAAGTCCTAGTATCTCTCTGGTGCCTCTCCTGCAGCTAGCGCCCCCTTGGGGCCACCACTATCAACTACAGGGACATCTTCAGTCCCAGTAAACAGTCCCCTGTCCAGACCTTGCACGATACTGTCTCTGGGTTTGGGTTGAATTTTGCTGGCTCCGTTCA